CTGCAAAATGGTCACTATTAAATAATGAGGATTTTTTGAGGAACATTTTTTAGAGAAAATCAGAACCATACTAGAACAAGGTCTATTAGAGGCGTGGATTTATTAAAAAAAATTTTTGAAGGACCATTAGAACCGTGGATTTATTAAAAATAAATTTCCAAGGTCTATTAGAAGCCTAGATTTATTAAGGATAATTTTTCAAGGACCATTAGAGGCGTGGATTTTTTTTGGCCTATTAGAGGACTAGATTCATTTAAGATTATCTTCCAAGGTCTATTAGAGGCGTGGATTTATTAAAAATGATCCTTCAAGGACTATTAGAGGCGTGGATTTATTAAAAATGATTTTTCAAGGACTATTAGAGGCGTGGATTTATTAAAAATCATTTTTCAAGGACCATTAGAGGCGTGGATTTATTAAAAATCATTTTTCAAGGACTATTAGAGGCGTGGATTTATTAAAAATGATTTTTCAAGGACTATTAGAGGCGTGGATTTATTAAAGAGTATTTTTTCAAGGACTATTAGAGGCGTGGATTTATTAAAGAGTATTTTTTCAAGGACTATTAGAGGCGTGGATTTATTAAAGAGTATTTTTTCAAGGACTATTAGAGGCGTGGATTTATTAAAAATGATTTTTCAAGGACTATTAGAGGCGTGGATTTATTAAAAATGATTTTTCAAGGACTATTAGAGGCGTGGATTTATTACAAATGATTTTTCAAGGACTATTAGAGGCGTGGATTTATTACAAATGATTTTTCAAGGACTATTAGAGGCGTGGATTTATTAAAAATTATTTTTCAAGGACTATTAGAGGCGTGGATTTATTAAAAAATATTTTTCAAGGACTATTAGAGGCGTGGATTTATTAAAAATTATTTTTCAAGGACTATTAGAGGCGTGGATTTATTAAAAATTATTTTTCAAGGACTATTAGAGGCGTGGATTTATTAAAGAATATTTTTTCAAGGACTATTAGAGGCGTGGATTTATTAAAGAATATTTTTTCAAGGACTATTAGAGGCGTGGATTTATTGAAGAATATTTTTTCAAGGACTATTAGAGGCGTGGATTTTTTAAAGAATATTTTTTCAAGGACTATTAGAGGCGTGGATTTTTTAAAGAATATTTTTTCAAGGACTATTAGAGGCGTGGATTTTTTAAAGAATATTTTTTCAAGGACTATTAGAGGCGTGGATTTATTAAAGAATATTTTTTCAAGGACTATTAGAGGCGTGGATTTATTAAAGAATATTTTTTCAAGGACTATTAGAGGCGTGGATTTATTAAAGAATATTTTTTCAAGGACTATTAGAGGCGTGGATTTTTTAAAGAATATTTTTTCAAGGACTATTAGAGGCGTGGATTTTTTAAAGAATATTTTTTCAAGGACTATTAGAGGCGTGGATTTATTAAAGAATATTTTTTCAAGGACTATTAGAGGCGTGGATTTGTTAAAGAATATTTTTTCAAGGACTATTAGAGGCGTGGATTTGTTAAAGAGTATTTTTTCAAGGACTATTAGAGGCGCGGATTTATTAAATAATATTTTTTCAAGGACTATTAGAGGCGTGGATTTATTAAAGAATATTTTTTCAAGGACTATTAGAGGCGTGGATTTTTTAAAGAATATTTTTTCAAGGACTATTAGAGGCGTGGATTTATTAAAGAATTTATTTTTCAAGGACTATTAGAGGCGTGGATTTTTTAAAGAATATTTTTTCAAGGACTATTAGAGGCGTGGATTTTTTAAAGAATATTTTTTCAAGGACTATTAGAGGCGTGGATTTTTTAAAGAATATTTTTTCAAGGACTATTAGAGGCGTGGATTTATTAAAGAATATTTTTTCAAGGACTAGTAGAGGCGTGGATTTATTAAAGAATATTTTTTCAAGGACTAGTAGAGGCGTGGATTTTTTAAAGAATATTTTTTCAAGGACTATTAGAGGCGTGGATTTATTAAAGAATATTTTTTCAAGGACTATTAGAGGCGTGGATTTATTAAAGAATATTTTTTCAAGGACTATTAGAGGCGTGGATTTTTTAAAGAATATTTTTTCAAGGACTATTAGAGGCGTGGATTTTTTAAAGAATATTTTTTCAAGGACTATTAGAGGCGTGGATTTTTTTAAAGAATATTTGTTTAAGGTCTATTAGAGGCGTAGATTTTTTTAAAGAATATTTATTTAAGGTCTATGAGAGACGTGGATTTATTAAAGAATATTTTTTAAGATCTATTAGAGGCGTGGATTTTTTAAAGAATATTTTTAAGTGGATTATTAGAGGCGTGGATTTTTTAAAGAATATTTTTAAGTGGATTATTAGAGGCGTGGATTTTTTAAAGAATATTTTTAAGTGGATTATTAGAGGCGTGGATTTTTTAAAGAATATTTTTTCAAGAACAATTAGTGGCGTGGATTTTTAAAAAATATTTTTTCAAGGACTATTAAAGGCGTGGATTTCTAAAGAATAGTTTTTTCAAAGACAATTAGAGGCGTGGATTTCTAAAGAATAGTTCTTCAAGGACAATTAGAGGCGAGGATTTTTAAAGAATATTTTTCAAGGACTATTAGAGGCGTGGATTTCTAAACAATAGTTTTTCAAGGACTATTAGAGGCGTGGATTTATTACAAATGATTTTTCAAGGACTATTAGAGGCGTAGATTTATTAAAAATGATTTTTTCGGGGACAACTAAGACGTGGATTTGTTAAAAATATAGTTTTTGGGGACACCCAAGGCGTGGATTTATTAAAAATAATTTTTCAAGGACTATTAAAGGCGTGTTTTTTTCATATTCGATACTTTATTCCTCTCTTCCAATCCCTTTGCCTCTCCACCCATCATCATGATCATTGTCATCGATTTATTTGGTGGTGAAGACATTAATCATTCATTCGTTCGTTCGTTCATTTGAGGAGTGGCTGAATGTGAATTGAAATGTTTGTTCGCTGTTAAGGTTCTCGAGGTTTTTTTTTTTTGCCTTTTCTCGTGGCGTGCATCTGCAATCTCCAGCACCATCACAGTCGCCCAAAAGTTTTGTCGATTTATTTAAATGAACAGTTTTATTAGCATTGACTGAAGAGTTTATTATTGTAAAGAAAAAAAATGCAAAAAAATAACATAGAACATCGGGCTATGTAAATAAAATCCCACACAAAGATGACGTTGGAGTATTATAAACTTCAGGAATGTGACAAAGACTTAATTACCTTGAATTAAACAAATGGGATTTACAACAGGAAGATAGAGACTTAAACACTTAAACTAGAAAATACAATAACAACTTATATTAAAGAAATAAGGGCCCTTCAAAAAAATTATTTTTAATAAATCCACGCCTCTAATTGTCTTTCAAAACTTATTTTTAACAAATCCATGCCGGTTAAATCCTTCAAAAATTATTTTTATAAATCCATGCCTGTAAAAGCCTTCCAAAAATAATTTTTAATAAAAGTCCTTTAAAAATTAATAAATCCATGCCTGTAAAAGTCCTTCAAATATTAATAAATCCATGCCACGCCTCTAATGGCCCCTAATTTTTTTTAATAAATCCGCGCCTGTAACGGTATGTCCGTACGTCCATGTATTTTTGTGAACAAAGTACAGGTCGCATTTCTGATCCGATTTGGATGAAATTTGACATAGGTCACATATTTGGCCGAAGGGCGAACTCTATTGAAATTGGGAAAAAATCGTTTCAGATTTAGATATAGCTCCGATATATATTTTCGTTCGATTTAAGGTAAATGGTTCACCAAAGTCCCTATATATCTCTCGATTTGCATGAAATTTGGCACAGCGTAATGAATTAGGTCTAGAATGATGTATGTTAAGTTTCCTGAAAATCGGTTCAGATTCCAATATAGCTCCCATATATATTTTTGTCCGATTTTAGGTAAATAGTGCACCAAAGTCCGTATATATCCTTCGATTTGCACGAAATTTGGCATAATGCACTGAATTAATTCTAGAACGATGTGGGTTAAATTTCGGGATAATCGGTTCAGATTCAGATATACCTCCCATATATATTTTCGTCCGATTTTAGGTAAATAGTGCACCAAAGTCCATTTATATCCTTCGATTTGCACGAAATTTAGCATTGCGTACTGAATTAAGTCTAGAATGATTAGTTGTGAGTTTCGGGAAAATCGGTTCAGATTTCGATATAGCTTCCATACATATTTTCGTCCGATTTTAGGTAAATAGTGTACCAAAGTCCCTATATATCTTTCGATTTGCACGAAATTTGGCATGACGTAATGCATTAAGCCTAGAATGATGTGAGTTAAGTTTCGTGATAATCGGTTCAGATATAGATATAGCTCCCATATATATTTTCGATTTGCACGAAATTTGGCATAGTGTACTGAATTGAGTCTAGAATGGTGTGTGTTAAGTTTCGGAAAAATCGGTTCAGGATTCGATGTAGCTCCCACATATATGGTGCACCAACGTTCTAATGTTTGTCCGATTAACACGAATTTTTGCACAACGTATCACGATTGAGACTTGAATAACGTTGTTGCGTTTTGTTGAAATTGATGTAGATGCCATAGGTTCCATATGTATTTCGAACGGGTGTCTGATTGAAATTAAATGTTTAACCGAACCCTGTATCTATTTTGCTATAAATCGTTTAACATAAATTTGTCCCATGGTACGCAGTCGACTCCAAATCTGCTCGAATGAAATTAAATGTATCATAGGTTACAGAAAGACATGATTATGTTCCTTCGAGGGAGCATTGACATGGAATTGTAAGGATACATGTGCATAATATACCCAAAGTGGTGAAGGGTATCATATAGTCGGCCCAGTCCTACTTTACTGCTTTCCTTACTGGTTTCTATTGTGGAAGGTTTTAGTGACTTTGACCTATTTTAATCTTTTTCCCCCAGTTATTGTTTTTATTTTCTTTTTAAAATAATGAAAACAAAACAATAGAGCAATAAAAGTAAATATCAAAACATAACAGCAAAAGAAAAAAACTTACCCGTTAGTGGATTAACTTGAAATGAACTATTTGCCGACAATAAACTATATCTGATGACCGCATTCTCGCCCAAATCCAAATCAGTAGCACCAATAATGCCCACCAAGGAGCCGCTTCTCATATTCTCCTCGATGCTGAACTCATATGACGAACGTAAAAAACGTGGATCATTATCGTTGGCATCCAGTATGCGCACCACAACACGTGTGCTAGTTTGGGCAGGCGGTGACCCATTATCGCTGGCCACCACATGCAGTTCATAATGATCACGTGTTTCGCGATCCAGCGGCGAACGTAAATAAATCCAACCACTATTTGGATAAATGCCAAATATTTGGGCAATTTCATTATCCGTAGCTAGCGTGGTGGATGATGTGGGAGAGGATGAAAGTAACTTTTTTGTGGCAGATCCGTTGTTGTTGTTGCCATTCTGTTTCTTGGCATTTTTCATGAGGGTAACATTTCCTGACTGGTTGTTGTTGGTGATAATGCGATAAGTGATGCGAGCATTGTTACCGGTATCTGCATCTACAGCTGTCACTTGTACAATCTGAAAAACAAAACAAAAAAATTAGAGAGAAAGAAAGAGAAATTAACCATATGCAACATGTTGTGGTTGTTTTCGATGTTGTGTTTGATGATGATGAAGAGGATTTATGTCCAAATGATTTTTTTTGTTTTTCCTATTTGTCGACTGTTGCAAATCTATTTAAATTTCCTTGCAAATCATTTCATGTGTCCACCAAAGGAGGACAAACAGAATTACAACAAAAATTAAACTTTCACAATGTTTGACTAACGAAATGAAAACTGTGTTTCGATTTAATTTTGAAAACAACAGTATCCGCAAAACGAAAGCAACAAAATAGTACACACGTTGCAAAAGTTGCAAATTCGTGATAATGTGTAAAGTAGAAGTAACAGGCACTTGTCGTTACAGCCATTTTGGAAAGCTGACTAGTTATGTTTGTATGGACAATTCCAATTCCAAATCCAAATCGAAGTGAAGCGAACCGAAGTGGAAACAAAGTTTCTGTAAAAGTTTTAATCACAGTTTCATTAAAGAAAAAGGCATACATTTCGCTACGCCCATTTAATTTATTTATTTAGCTCTAAGGTATTTTGTTTAATTGCAAAATGTTGATTACGATTTGATTTGTTCGCGGCATGTCCGTATTTGACAAATAGTTTTGTTTTCCGTTGAGATAATGAAGCAATATATTTGGAATAATGTTTAAATGTTTTCCAAAACAATACAGGAAAAATAAACCTTTTGGTTATTCGGTCCCATATAACGCAAACTTGCAAATATCGGTAATTTGACAGTTTGATGAAAATTTTCCCGACAAATTGGCCGTAATCTTGGAAATCAATATTGGCCCATATTTCAAGGTATACTTATATAGACGGAACCCAGGCATTATTAGGTATTTAGGAGAATCATTTAATATTTTAGATTCCCACAGCATGTTTAACCCTTTGAGCCCCGAATTTTTTCCGCAATCATAGAACAAATTTCTGTTCACAGATTTAATGCAACTATCCCAAATAGGATATGCACAAAATTTGGCATCGCTACATCCTTGCATTCGGGAGATACAGTACATTCTTTGGGAAGAATTAAAGTCCAATATCAAGAAAACCAAATGCAAAATCAGAAAAATCATTTTAAATTATTCTCTGTATTCATTTTTACAAGAATCAAAAATAATTCTGATGGCGGAATTCGTACAATTTGAATACGAAGCGATTTGAATAATTTGGACTGTATACACAAATTAGTACTGTACACAAATTTGCTCATAACTTTTTTTTGATTTTTCTTTTGATATGTATCGTCCACAATCAGGTCTTCGTATGAAATATAAGCTCTAAAAATTTTGTTGCCTGTGGGCAACATTGGCCCACAAAGGGTTAATCTTCCTTAAAAAATGATCAATATCTGCCTACGTTTCGGTATAGGATTCGATCTAATTTAATATTTTCGATTCTCATTATATAGATAATTATAAATATAGGTCAACGGTTGGTATTGCTCCTACATAATGGTAACCCGAAAATTCAGTAGTTTTAGTATTTCTGATATATTTTCCAACCGTCACGAGTCATAAACGGTATGTTCAAGGTCATAGATGTCGCTACGATGGCTACGTATTTCGTTTCCTCCTGGCAATAGATTACCATAGCAATGTCCAATCCATGGATGAGGGTATGAAAAGTTCGGCAGGGCCGTTGACATTTTCTACTTGTTTTATTTTTGCACTTTGAATACTCTTTTTAATATATATATATCTATATATAGTGTTAAAAATGCGACGTCTGGGTAGACAGATGCTTCTTAACAGACGTCGCATTTTTAACACTAAATTGGATGATGTAAAACAAGTAACCTTTATCTAAATGTGAACCAACATTGATGCTTCATTTACTTTAAATCGAAGAAAACCTATATGGGAGCTATATCAGAATCTGAACCGATTTAAACAAAACATGGCACACGTTAGACTACTCTAACTTCGGTACGTTGTGCAACATTTTGTGACAATCGGCGTAACTTTGGGTCTTTGGTGCACACAAATTTTCTTGAAACTTAATACAGATCTTTCTAGCCATACTTCAGTTCGCTGTACCAAATTTCGTGCAAATCGAAAAATATAAAGGGACTTTGGTACACCATTTACCTAATATCAGACGAAATTATATATATAATATATATCTAAATCTGAACCGATCTTCACGAAACTTAGTACAGATCATTTCAGACTCAATTCAGTACGCCTTAGCAAATTTCGTGCAAATCGGAAGATATATAGGGTCTTTGGTGGACCATTTACATTAAATCGGATGAAATGTATATGGAAGCTATATCTAAATCTGAACTGATTTTCACGAATCATCATTAATTAAGTACGCAATGCCAAATTTCGTGCAAATCGAACGATATATAGGGACTTTGGTGCACAATTTTCTTTACTATTCTTAAAAATATTGAATATTTATAGAAAAACCAGTGAGCGGAGCAGAATAGTCGGACGGTGCCGACCATACGATACCCTACACAACTACCACGGAACTGTAACATTCTGTGATATCTACACCCTGTTGCCCGATTAGAGGTCAAAATCACCTCTTCCTTACACTGAAATATTTTCCTAACATTACTAATATTCTGTACAGTCCTTCTAATTACTTGTCCATATTCCCTTCACCGTGGCCTATAGATCGACTCGAAAAAAACACAAAAAATTCAACAGGCGTAGATTTTTAAGGGCCTTCAAGAGGCGTAGATTTTTAAGGGCCTTCAAGAGGCGTAGATTTTCAAGAACCTTCTACAGGCGTGTTTGCCACTTTATTTTCGATCAGAAAAAAATTATCAAGCCTTTTTGTTTGAGAAGTTGCTCCTAAGATCGATATTGAAAATGTTATATATCGGTCCTCGTTTTGATATACCCCCTAAAAGAGAGTCCAACACTTTTATGGTTGGTTTCATGGTTTTATACCCTGGTAACCAGTGAGCGGAGCAGTATAGTCGGGCGGGCCCGACCATATGATACCCTACACAACTTCGACGAAAATATAACTTTCTGTGGTTCTATATTCTGAGTATGGAAAATAATTAAGTTTTCGGCCCACTCCATCAAAATATTAGTATCTGATCATCATGGAATTATAGGCGTTGTCCTTGACCATACCAGGATCCTCATGGTAAATTTCAATGCGATCAGCGTTATGTTTCCTCACCCTAGTGTGGTAATGGGTTACTAAATATTATCCGAATACGTTAGACCCTGTAAATATTTAAGTGTAACGCCCACATCCGAGTACATACGACAATATAATTGGTATCTGTTTAAAGGTCAACCATTCCTCTTGGATATACTATCAAATTCTCGGGTCTATGTCCTTCAGGAGATAAAATTTTTTTGATTTTTGACACAAAAGTCAGTGTCCATTTGACCCGCAAAATATTGACCGATATTTATCTAAACAGGCATGCTGGACCATAATTGCGGCCTCTGGAGCGACCAGAAAATCAGACAAAAATAAAGTTTTTGGTCCATTTCTTTACCAAAAACAAAATATCGTGAAGATTGGTCCATAACTGTTGCCTGTATTGTGTTTAAATTATAATGGACAGACGGACAAACAAACGGACGGACACACATGTCTAGATCGACTCAGCTAGTCGAGATATGACGATCGGTATACTTAAAGGTGGGTCTAGGACCAATATTTCGCGGCATTACAAACTCTTGGGGCTGTAAAAAGTTATAATACCCTGACAACATAGCTGTTTAGGGTATAATAATTTATTGGAGGTATTTTAATTGTAAATTTACGCTTGTTAAAGATCCTTGCACAAATATTCTTGAAAACATTGCGCCTCTGATAGTCGTTGACAAATATTCCTGAACCAACTCAACTAGGTCTTCCTTTCTTAATTGTATCATTATTTCATGCCTTCACAGGCATGGTCATAGTGACCTTAATAATTGCAATCATAGTTTGCTTTTTTTTGTTACAATAATGTTTGACAATTCTATTAAGAAGCGAAAAAATAGAAAATTACTTCTGTCCCTATCCCCAACAACGACGACAACAACAACAGTAACTCAAAAACAAATAATAACTAGACAAAAATACTAATTTAGTACAAGACATTAACAAATTCATTTGTGCTGGGATTCGTCGACTGAAAGATTTCATTATGAATATTGATATTCATGGTCTGATGTTGTGGTTGTTGCTATTTGGTGTTGTTGGTTTATTTTTTTCTGGCGGATAACATTGGTCGAATGTAATGTAAACTTTGACTAAAGTGAAAATTTGAAAGTCACTTAACCCCAATTTGGTTAGGGAAACAAAGCAACAACCAAAAAGTAGAAAAATCAAAACAAAATTCTCACACACACAGACAGACAGTTAACTACATGAAAAGACACAACTACATATACAAGATAACAAAGCATCATATTCGAAGTGGGAGAAGAGGAAAACAGAAACAGCCCTAACTTTCCTTTGGCTAATTTTTTTTTGCTTTGGATTTTTGGTAGTTGTTTTCTTTTTTTTTTTTGAAAAATTGTGCTGCAATTCTTGTTCATTTAAAAACCAAAATGAAAGAAAAAACTTTGACTTTTAAGTTAGTTGGCGGTGGCTTTTGCTATTTAACTATTTTTGTTTTTTTTTTCTAGCAATAAAATTCACATGGCCAACAACAGCAACAACATTGAAAATAGCACAACACGACCAAATCCTTTTTCTTCGCATTTTTCCTCTATGGCCTCTCTCGAGACACGATTTTAATCGCTATTATTGTAGTTGTTGTTGTTGGTGGTGATGGTGGAGGTACTGTTGTTTTTATTTGGCCCGTCTTAGCCAATGTTTTTTTGGAAAAATAACAAACCTCCTCAATGTTGTCTACATACGAAAACTCTCTAGCAACTGCAGCACAATTACCCGTGTCTCGAGACAAGAAGAAAGCAACGAACGGTGACTGCTGCCTGGCAACTACAATGAGGGTGAGCGAGGGATCTAAACATACGCCAACGG